GTAGACAACTGATTAGGATGCACTGGCTCGGGGGGCACAGGGTGCAATTGCAGGAGGAAAAGTGCTCCCCTCTAGCCAGTTATTTCTTGTAACGTGGCCGAGATGCAGATGAGCAGAGGAGCTTTTGTTCCGCTAACCGGTCTGACAGGAATTGCTGTCACAGAAAATGAGACACATGGTGGGACTGGGGTGGGGGTAATGGGACACATGGTGTGACTAGGGGAACAAGACAAATAGTGGGGCTGGATGTGGGATAAGACACATGGATGGGCTTGGGGTTGAATGAGACACATAAATGGACTGGTGAAATGAGACACATGGTGGGGCTGAGGTGGGAAAGAGACACATGGAGGGCCTGGGGAAATAACTCACATGGAAAAGCTGAGGGTCAAAAGGATGGGGTCAGAGAAAAAGAGACATAAGGAGGCAGGGCCGGACTGGCCCACCGGGATACCGGGAAATTTCCCGGTGGGCCGCGGCACCTGGGGCCGGTCTGACAGCCCTAATCATTGGGCTGACAGCTCCGGCAGCACAGAGCCCCATGGGAGCCAGGGGGAGCCGGCCGGCACAGCTCACATACGGCCGGCCGGGATCATAAAAAAATAATAAAAAAATTTGCGGCGGGGGCGGGGCTTAGCGTGCGGCGGGGGCGGGGCTTACCTGCGGCAGGGCCCGGCTGACTGCAGCATGGGAAGCAGGAAGGAGTCCCTGCTTCCCCAACAACCAGCCTGCAGGAGCAACAAACAGGAGTTAAGAAGGAGGTCAGTGTGTGAGTGTGTGACTGTCTGTGAGTGTGTGACTGTCTCTGTGTGAGTGTGTGACTGTCTCTGTGTGAGTGTGGGACTGTCTGTGAGTGTGGGACTGTCTCTGTGTGAGTGTGGGACTGTCTGTGAGTGTGGGACTGTCTGTGAGTGTGGAACTGTCTCTGTGTGAGTGTGTGACTGTCTGTGAGTGTATGACTGTCTCTGTGTGAGTGTATGACTGTCTGTGAGTGTGGGACTGTCTCTGTGTGAGTGTGGGACTGCCTGTGAGTGTGGGACTGTCTCTGTGTGAGTGTGTGACTGCCTGTGAGTGTATGACTGTCTCTGTGTGAGTGTGGGACTGTCTGTGAGTGTGGGACTGTCTGTGAGTGTGGGACTGTCTCTGTGTGAGTGTGGGACTGTCTGTGAGTGTGGGACTGTCTCTGTGTGAGTGTGTGACTGTCTGTGAGTGTGGGACTGTCTCTGTGTGAGTGTGGGACTGTCTGTGAGTGTGGGACTGTCTCTGTGTGAGTGTGTGACTGTCTGTGAGTGTATGACTGTCTCTGTGTGAGTGTATGACTGTCTGTGAGTGTGGGACTGTCTCTGTGTGAGTGTGGGACTGCCTGTGAGTGTATGACTGTCTCTGTGTGAGTGTGGGACTGTCTGTGAGTGTGGGACTGTCTCTGTGTGAGTGT